CAATTTATTTTTTAAGAATTAATGGTTGTAATAGTTGTCTTAAAATTCAGAATTAATTTCGAATTAATTCCAATTTATTTTTTAAGAATTAATAGTTGTATAAGTTGTCTTCAATTCTAGATTAAAGTTGTTGTTATGGGAGGTTACATATCTGAAATTATTTCAGATGCTAATGCTATTAACTCTTCATTCTCCTATAAATATTTGGTGTTGGGCAGAATTGTTTTGCGGTTGGATTTTGAACTCTCAAAATTTTTGTTTTCTCTCTTCCCTTCTCCCGTTTTCTTGAAAGAAAATTCTGCCAAACACTCCTGTAAACTGTACGGAGGGCTCGTCATTTTTTCTAGTTTGCCGGACCTTTTATTTAATTGAGTGCTCATTTTTAAGGTCATGATCCATTTTATCCCAAGTGTATACAATTAATTGGGACGTGTTTTTGTCAAGATCAAACAAACACCTACTAATTCGTCAAAAAGTTCAAACATGTAATATGCTCTAATGTCAATTGTTATGATTAATTGCTTACCACTAGGCCAAAAACTATAACTAGTAACAAAGACACAACTTTATGAATTTTCACTTATATAGCAATCATTGCCACATTTCACCGGCATGATGTTGGACTAGGTCCTCTAAACCTCCGACCAACAATTTTTGTCTTTGCAACAAATATCCATTTATATACTTTAAAATTGAAAATCTTGCATTTAATAGTTCGAAACATCTCTTGATCACATTACACAATGGCGAATGCCAATAATTGAATAAAGCTTGTTTATTTCATATTTGTCCTCGGGCACAAAACTCATTCAATTACAATATTATTTCATAATCGTCCTCGTCCACAAAATTCATTCAATTACCATACTTAAATTAGTCATTTGACGTTATACAAATTTTCAACACAATTCAACCCAATACTATTGTGTCCATAGTATTAGTTTCTTCCATTGGACTACTATTTCTCCCAGTGCGGCACTATTATTATCTGTACCCATAGTTGCTCCATACTATTGACTACTTTAGTTATCTCATTTCTCCACTTACCTTCTTGTTACGTTATTGCTTTTCTTCATAATACCACATACCACCATCTATCATGTCATCCAAGCTCCTTTTCCCGGCCTTTAAAACATTAATTATTTCCCCTTATATCAGTGTTTGTTGCAGTAGGAACATTAATATTATTTACAATTATGCTTCTTAATATATACGTTGAACTATCTGTCTATTTATGATGATCTACAAATATATAGCACAACCATAAATCCATTAATCATTAGTTATTATACAATTGATTTCAAAATCTGGGCTACATTATTGCTTGGCTGATGACATTGCTGGTGTTCCCATGTGGAGGCAGTTATTTGATTAGCTTGTAAACTTTCTCTTGGCGTTTCTGCTCTGATAAATCAAAAAATTTTGAACTAGAATTCACAATGCAATGTGAACTCTGGTCCATGATATAATAGTTACGTTCTTTTTAGTTCTCGAGGTAATTTAATAATAATTTGTATTGATGATAGTTTAACGTTACCAATTATCAGTAAGTTTAGGAAAAGTAGAATGAAAAAGTAGAATGAAACCACCAATTAGCAGGTGATGATATGAATTTATTTGTTTAGAGAAATACTCGAAAGTAGCAGCCATAAAAGATAAGGTACACCGTACACGTGCATACTAACAATATTAAAACAAGAAAAGAACAAAACACTTGGATCAGATCAGATCAGATGATGCTTTTGTTTATCTATACATACATGTATTTGTTTAATTTATTTAGAGACGAGATATAGCAAGAACTTGCTCCGGTGGTTGATCGTAAAATCTTGGCTTTTCCCGGTTGACTTGGTTTGACCTTTTGCTGCTTGTTGATGGCTCATTCACATTTTCCGATATCACAAAAGTTTTGGCCTTTGCCCTTAGCAGATGTTTTAGAGGTTTCCCAGTTGAAGTCTTGGGCAAGTCTTTCTCGATTTGGATTTTCTTGGGCACCATAAATCCCGGCAGGGTTTTCCGGCAATGCGCCACGATTTCGGCTTCTTTCAATTTTCCGGCCGACTTCTCCACTACAAATGCGCAGGGGCTTTCGCCCCACCTGGGATGCGGCATGGCGACGACGGCGACTTCTGACACGTTGGGGTGTTTCATGATTGCTTTTTCGACGTCGACGCTGCTGATGTTTTCTCCGCCGGAAATGATGACGTCTTTTGACCGGTCCTTGATTTCTAAGTAGCCGTCGGGGTGGATGACGCCGACGTCGCCGGTGACGAACCAGCCGTTCACGAAAGACTCGGAATTCGCCTTGGCGTTCTTGTAGTAGCCTTTCATGATACTGCTACCTCGGAGGACGATTTCTCCCATGGTCTTCCCGTCTCGGGGCACCTTTTTCATGGTTTTCAGGTCCGACATAACCTCGGCGTCGGCCAACGTTAATATGCTAAGCCCCTGTCGGGCCTTTAAATCCGCCTGCTCCTCCTTGGGCAAAAGGTTCCATTTCCCCTGCCACTCGCACACGAGCGCCGGCCCGGTGGCCTCCGTGAGGCCGTAGGCGTGCACGACGTAGAACCCCAGCTGCTCGATTTTCTTGAGGAGCGACGGCGGCGGCGGCGCCCCGCCGGTCAGGATCTGGACCGGGGCGCCCAGATTCCGGCGCTCATGCGCCTTGGCCTCCAAGAGAATATTGAACACTATAGGAGCGCAACACATGTGGGTGACTTTATGAACCGCTATGGCGTCGTACATTTCCTTAGCGGCGGTGTTACGTATACAAACGTTGGCCCCACCGCGCGCCGCCACCCCCCAAGTGAAAGTCCAACCGTTGCAATGGAACATCGGAAGTGACCAGAGATAAACCGGTTCGGTCCCCATTTCCCACCCCAAAATCAAGCTCAGAGTGCTCAAAAACGCCCCCCGGTGGCTATACACCACCCCCTTCGGGTCCGACGTGGTGCCGGAGGTGTAACTCAGAGTAATCGCATCCCACTCGTCATTAATCTCCTCCGGCGCCGTGTTGGGATTCCCTTGGAGTACTAGCTGCTCGTACTCCAGCTCCCCCAGGCGGATCCCGGTGGGGGTATCCACGTCGTCGATCACAACCACCAAGGGCATTTGCGTATTCTCCTCCATCAACATCTCCATCGCCTTCCCGGCCTTCTCCACATATTCATAGTCCACGAAGAACACCTTCGCCTCCGAGTGCCGGAGAATGGTGGCAATGTTCTTCGCATCCAGCCTCGTGTTTATGGTGTTCAGCACCGCCCCTGCCATCGGCACCGCGAAATGCATCTCGTACATTGCCGGAACATTCGGCGCCAACACCGAAACCTATAACAAAAACAACAAATTAACTACTACCCAAAAGTTATAAGAGACTTATGAAAAATACTATATATACTCCCATTCTCTACCTGGAATAATAGTTTATTAGTGTCCAGAGAATAAGTTTTAGGAGTACAGGTAGATACAGTAGAACTTTTTCTTTATATGGTCACACATTTTCGGGACATTGAATACTGATTTTATCCTTTTTAAACTTTTTACCAATCTCTGACCCACAATCCCCGTCAAAGATGTTAGACTTGACATTTATCAATCTTCACTAAAATAAATGAAAACATAATTAAAATAAATGAGACTTACAACATCGTTCTTGACAACGTTGAGAGCCCGGAGAGAGGAGGCGAGACGGCAGCAGCGGTCGTAGGTCTGGCGCCACGTGAAGCTGACGCCGCCGTAGATGACGGATTTGCGGTCGGCATAGCATTTGGAAGCCCTCAGCAAGAAAGTGGTGGGAGTGAGAGGGACATAATTTGCTCCACATTTTGGCAGTCTATCCATCTCCAGACAGGGTTGGATATAGGATATATTTCTGGTCGATCGAGGAAATTAAGGATTGAAAACAATTGGATGGGGTTGTTAAGAAAGATGAGTTCTTGTGGATAGGTTTCGTGAAAAGCCTCGAGAGAGGCTGTATTTATATACATAGTTTGTGAGAAGGAAGGTTGTTGGGGCCCACATGGCCATGGCCATGGCCATGGTTGTTTAGGTGGAAATTAATCGGAAACTCTCATATATCAGTGAATATAATGGTATCAGTATACGCCAATTAATTAAGTTCATAGTTTGAACTATCATCACTGTTGACTTTCATATTAAAAAATTAAATATATTGAAGTCAGTAAATGGTATTCACATAAAAACACTTTTGGCTGCTTGACCCAGCCTGCCATCCTGCCACTTCACACTTAGCAACCACATATATGATGATAAAATGAGTCACATATCATTTAAACAACTTTTTAATTACCCTCTTCAAAATTCATCCTTCCAAATCTAAATGATATATTACGTGTGAACTAAAAATCTAAATGTATATCTGATCGAGTCTCACCAGCGACAGTGCGTGGGAGCAACTTCTCAAAGTGAGGGGAGTTCCTTGTGCGCAGTAAGCACTGGTCTAGCCTCTGTGGTTCATGTTCAGTTGAGTTACCATGATTTACATCCTCCTAAATGCTCCGTCGGGTCGGGGTGTGGGGGGCCCTTAGGGTTGGAGTTCAGCCTTTTGAAAGAATGAAGTGATTTTTTTCAAATGGGATTTATGGGTTCGAGTCTAGACTTATCAAGTCGAAACACATTCAATTCCCCTTTCAGGCAATTGTTACACCATGGACCAGATTCCACCTTACATTGTAGATTCTGGTTAAAAAATTATGTGTATAGTTAACATATTATGTGACATTAATTAATAAATTATGTGTCTATAAATAAATTAAAGAAATATAATTTATTAGCTACAAGTACAAATTATTATGTATTTGCAATTAATTAACATATTATGTGCAAATAGTTAACGTAATATATATGTACCACTTTCAATTTATTTATATGCATATAATATTATAATCTATTAATGATAAACACATAATTTAAATGTCATTTTGGACCATAACCTATAATGCAAGGTGGACCATATATAGTCTATAAGTTGAAGGCTAAGAAGACTAGAAGACTTGGAATTGGAGTTTCTTGTTTGAGTTATTTTGGTTGTTTCTGCCCACCTTTGAGTTTAATTAACTAGTAGTTATATACATGTCTTATTGAGTTTTATTTCTAGAAGCTATTAATTTCTAAATATGCAATAAATATCTTAGCGAATTGGATTTTCTTTGTAGATTATAAATGAAGGCCGGGCTAATTTATAAACGCAAATTATGCTGTGGAGACGTATTTACTATGTGCATGGTGAACACAGGGATAGGTTCATAATTTTTATACTGTAAATTCATTATTTTTTTTTAAACGTAGATTCATAATTTTGTTTTTCATTTGTTGTTTCGGATATTATGAATCTACAGTACAGAAATTATTAATCTACAGTATAGAAATTATGAATCTATAGTATAGATGTTATGAATCTACAGTATAGAAATTATGAAACTATAGCTTAGAAATTATGGATTTATCCCGTTAACAACAAATGAAAAACAAAATTATGAATCTACGTTTTCAAAAAATAAATTATAAATCTACAGTATAGAAATTATAGATATACCCCTGTGTTCACCATGCGCATGGTGAACACGTTTCCACAACATAACTATTGATTTCTAAATGCCACATGCAATATTTGTGTCAAAATATTAATACATTCATACTACTAAATTTAAATCTTGGTATCTTATAAACAGAGGAAATAATAAGGTGTGTTTGGTTCGCACATGGGGATCAGAATCGGAATTGAAATCAAATACATGGTAATGGTTATAGGTTTTGGTGAAAGTATTTTGCATGTTTGGTAGTAGGGTGAAATTGGAATGATTACCAATATTGATGTTTGGTTGTGTATGAGTATGACCCTATAATGAGAATAAATATTTTACGAATACAAAAATAAAAAAATCAAAGTAATTGATCCTAATATAATGACATCCTAAACATCAACATGAACAAAAAAAAATGAAAACAAAAATCTAAAAATACTAATCTAAACTTAAAAATTAGACTATCAATAAGATGGAATGATACCCCTTTTAATTGAATATGTAATCAAATCTCATAGTTAATTCTCATTTCTAATGTGTAAATTCACGAACCAAATACACCCTTAATCATTCACTCTCAACACATTGCTGGCAAATTTTTTTGTAATAATTTCAACGCACTATAGTATCTATTTTAATATCAATTATTTAACTTATAGGCCGGTAATTATATGGAAATTTTACAATGCCTACTTCCAAAATTGAAAAAGTAAGGATATTTTGGTTGTACCAACTTCATTAGGAAATTTTTATTTTTTTTTTCAAAGATTAAGAAAAATGTCCCCCTATTTTTTTATTTATTTATTTTTTTTTTTTGACAAAAACACATTGTTGGCTAAGATACTGTAAAAATCTCCCATAATTTTTACTTTAAAAAACAATTAATCTATTTTTTAGTACTATCGACTCTATTATAGTGTAGAGTCTGTTCAATACCCCACCACCAAGATTCGTCTTGTGACATTTCTTCAAAAAAAAATAAGGACAAAGATGAAAAAAAAAAATGTTAGGAAGCTACTAGCTTATTTGAAAACGCTACCTTAGGTAGCGTTCCAAAATAAGCTATTATTTTAAGCTAATAGCTTATTTTGGAAACATTACTAAACAGAGTTTATAGCTTATTAGTAGCTTAAAATAAGCTATATAAGCTCATAAATAAACTCTGTCAAACAGAAACATGGTAAGAATATAGATATATATATTTAATAAAAAAAAAAAAAAAAAAAAAAAAAAAAAAAAAAACCTAACACACCAACTGACATGGGAGACAATAATCAAAGTCAAAAAACTGGATATTTCACGAATACGTGGTTGGCTACTAGCTAAAGAAGCTCATATACGTACAGTTGGATATAGTAAAGTGGGGTATGTCTCCCTAGTACTGTCTCTGTGGTCTTTGGTTTAGAAGTTCATATAAAATTATATAAAATACTTCTCTCCATTAATAATGTTTAATACAAAAAACAATGAATCTATCAGAACAATATTTTTTTTCTTCATCATCTTTTTTTTTTTTCTTTAAAAATATTAACTTTAAATGTATAACATATTATAAAAATGAGTAAAAATTAACTTTTTTTTTTGTCCAAAGGTATTCCTCCAGCCGATAGCAAGAAGACTAATCCCTCATTCCTACTGTCAGCACACTAAGTGATAGAGGACTAGCCAAATTTTATAAAAATGAGTAAAAATTGACTTTTTAAGTATTCATTTTGAGGTATTAATTTGAGTGAGTTTACTTTCAATTTAGGCAGGGTTAAGGTATATTTAGATTCTCCTGAGATGATGAATTTGATATATTTTATATTTAAAACAAATAATGAGTGAATAGAAAATTAATTCTCAAAATATACCAAAAAAAATTAGAAAAAATAGAGTTTATGAAGATTTTTATTACATTAAAAAATATATAAATTTACATTGATATAAATACAATTTAACTTATTTGACATAACTATAGCTCTCCCAAATAGGAGGTAACAGGTTCGAACCTCAGTAAGCACATTGACTCTTTATGTTTTAAGTTAAGAAAATATATATGGACAGATACTACAATGTAACAGAATCAGTAGTATTTTAAAAAAAATACAATTCAACTTTTTAAAAATTTAAATGATGTATTATAGATATTTTCTCTCCCCACCAAAAAATAGATATTTTATCTCAAGGCATAGGGGAGTGTAGGTTTCTGCTGTATATATATATATAGTAATAGTAATATATATAGTATATGGTGCCTGCCTTTTATTGCTCCTTGTCTCCTTGATGCCTTCCTTGCCACATGGTGCCTGCCTGTTACTCTCTATATATGATAATTAAATTTGCAACATCCTATTAATTCATTGTATTATATTATAGGAAATAGATATTTCACCGTTATTACCAAAAGAGAGCGATCAATTTTACTCGTCGCTTTTGGGGGATAAATGTCAAGGACCTTCCATTCTTCAGGTTGAAACGCTCCCATTGCAGCAAGTCTGTCCGCCACCTTATTCTGCTCGTAGTAAACAACGCGGAGACTTTTTCTCCAATCCCTATTAAGCCACCTTCATGGATCCAATGTACGGCGTTCTTAGCATCCGACTGAATTAATTTTATTTTTACCATATAACTAAAATTTTAAGATTATATTTTCTCTTTTATTTTTTTAAGAATATATTATTTCAAATTAAATTATTTTTACAACCACACATACCACTCACTGGTACGGTGTTGGTGTGCTTCCAGCCAAAATAAGGGTGGTTGTTATTGACATATGCTTCTTTCCCCATTTTTAGGATATTCAAGCAGTTGGTCAAAGTCAAAATAACCCATCCCAAATACGTCTCTTATTATTATTATTATTATTATTTTCAATACATGAAAAAATAAAGAAACATATGGTGTTCACGTAAGTGAGTATTAAATTACAGTACATATTGTCGAAAAAAAATTAGAGAACAATAACTTTTAAGTTAAACATGTGTGTGAATAGACTAATTAAGTTCGATTAATTAAAGGAATAAAGTAATACAAAAGCGATGTAAAAGGTTTAAAAGAGAGAAAGTGTTCGTGTTAATGGCTTTAAAGAGCGTACATTGTAAGGATAAGACAAGTTGTGTCCTAAATCAAGGCAAAGAGCTTATTTTTATACATGGTCTCTCGTTGCAATTACCCCACACAAATCGGGTGCCACCCGCCCGGAGCTCGGCCGATTGGAACCTGCCAACCTAACCTCATGGGATTGGATCGGATTGCCTTGGCTGGACTTGAGCTGGTCGACCTTGCGGGCACGGGGGCCGACCTGACCCCATGAGATCGGGTCGAACCACCTTGGGCCGATCTCGGGGTTGGCCTTGCATGGGTTCATTTGCCTCCTCTCAAGTCGGTTCTCCTTCACATCCATCCAGGTTGGTACGTTTTGCACTCATTCTTAATATATCCATCAAAAGTTTAAACACATTATTTTCATTTTTTTTTCATACACGAAAAAAATGAAGAAACACAAGGTGATATTATAAGTTTCGAGTATTAAATTGCAATACATTGTCAAAAATATTAAAGAACGATAGGTTTTAGTCAAAACACGTGATTCTCATTTTTTGATACATGAAAAAATGAAGAAACACAAGGTGATCACAAAATTTTCCAGTGATAAGTTGCAATACATATTGTCAAAAAAATTAGACTACAATATCTCTTTTAGTCTAAACACTTGATTCTCATTTTTTTCATACATGAAAAAATGAAGAAATATAAGGTGATCACAAAAGTTTTCAGTGTTAAATTGCAATATATATTGTCAAAAAATTAGACAACAATATCTTTTAGTCTAAACATGCAATTTTCATTTTTTCATATATGAAAAAAAAATTAAGAAACACAATATGATTGCAAAAGTTTCGAGTATTAGATTGCAATGCATATTGTCAAAAAATTAAAGAATAATAGCTTTTATTCTAAATATGTAATTCTCTTTTTTTTTTTTTTTTTTTTTTTTTTTTTCATACAAGAAAAAACACAAAGTGATAGCTCAGATTTTGAGTATTAAATTGCAATAAATATTGTCAATTGTTTGTTTTTTTTTTTTAAATTTTCAAATACTTGGGAATAGTTAATACCAGGGTCTCCTAGTAATGATTATTTCTTTTGTAAAAGGAATAACTCATTCACGAGAATACTATTTTCAAAAATGAAAGAACAAAACAAATAATAAAATATGTCTATTTTCAAAATTGATATTCTATTTCCGACCTATTCCATGAAGTAAACACATCATTAGTTTAAACATGTACTCTGTAATTTTTTTTTTTTACACCGCCCAGGCCTCCAATTCTAACAAAATATTCCCACACCCCTGCGGCCCCGCCCCCCGCCCACCGAAAAAAAATTTGCATCCCATATGTGCATGCAATGTATTTAAATCATAAAAAATATAATATGTACGAGGCTTCAATCAATCAACATCATATGCATACAGATCAACAATATGGGAAGTTTAACTACCATGAGGTGTTCTTAAAAAAAAAAAAAAAAAACTACCATGAGGTGAACCCAAAAAAAAAGAAGGTCAACAATATAAAAAGTTTAACTACCAATAAAAAATAATTCATATATATATATATATATATATATATATATATATATATATATATATATGAGCACGTTCAGATGCGAACGGGCTCGTCCAGGAAAGAAATGAGAACGTATGTTATCCATCTACGTGTCCAGATCTAACGGATCAGAAACACTGATATTTTAAAAAAACGCGGTGACATTTTCGTAAATAATTGAACATCAAAGTACAAGTAAAATGTATTACAAGTGCAAGTAGTAGTTTCATATAGTGCACCTATGTGCAAGTAAAATGTATTACAAGTGTAAGTAATATGTATTATAGGTGCAAGTAAAATGTCAATACTAAGTGTATTAAGTGCACCCGAGTGCAAGAATGTTAACAAGGTAAATTACTTGCGCTTGTAAGTGATTCTACTTGCACTTTTTACTTGCAAAGGTGCACCAGCTACTTGCACTTGCAGCACATTTACTTGCACTAAAGTTTGAATTATTTACGAAAATGTCACCGCATCGGTTTTTTTTTTTTTTTTAAATTACATCTGATTCGTTGATATGAACATGTTGACAACTGTGAATAATTCTTATTTCTCTCCTGAACGAGAGTTCTCACCTGAGCGCATATATATATATATATATATATATATATATATATATATATATATATATATATATATTATATGCCGCAATTAACTAAAGATGATTTTGTGTTTAGCTCTAATTAAGCAATCAATACTCTTAACTACCAACCAAGAGGTCAACCAACAAATTAAAAATAAAATATAAAAACGAGGTCAACAATATAATAAGTTTAACAACCAAGAAAAAATAATTCAAAAATATGAATTTAAAAATGAGCAAAATTATCCATAATATAACCTAGCCCTATTTGGTAAAATAATTAGCTTATCAGTCAATTTTTGACTTATTTGATCACTATTAGCTGTTTGACTTGGTTAAGAAATCAATGAAAGTGTTTTGTTAATAAGCTTTTGTAATTTTAAAATGTTAAAATTTAAAAAGCTATTCAAATTAAAATAACTTTTTTCAATTAGTTTTTTGAGAAAAGAAATTATACCAAACAACTAATAACTAATTTACGAAACACCTTTCTACAAGCAGCTAATATTATCAACTAGCTAGTTATACCATCTAACAACCATTTACTAAACATGGCCAATATCTGATATATATATATATATATATATATGTGTGTGTGTGTGTGTGTGTGTGTGTGTGTGTGCGCGCGCGTGCGTGTGTGTATGTGTGTGTGTGAGAGATGATTTTGTATTTAGCTCTAATTAAGCAATTGATACTCTAATGCTCGTTCCCACTACATGTTTTGCGTGCTTTCCACTGATCTCGAAAGATACAAACATGCGAAGAAATTAAGATTAACCAACAACTCTATAAAACGCTAAACAAACAAATACACACACATGCATATCTTGTAATTCTAATCATAATATTTGAGTTGGAAAATGTAGATTGAGCGTGTTAGAATTATTATCTATGTTTTTAGATATTATCTACTAAAGTTGGATTCTGATAATGAAAGTGAATCAGGTTATGAAAAGTTAGTCAACTATCAAGGACAGACCTAGAAAATCATTTGAGAGGGACAAAATTTAAATGATGTTAGAAATGTCAATGACAGAATATCAAACATTCATAATACGGTTTAAATACAAAAATACATTATATATTACAATGGAATGTTTTTGATAGATTACATGTATATAGTAATGTTATATAACATTATTTCAATTTGTTCAAGTTATGCTATTACATTGTAATCTTATATTATTTTAAAGTTGATGTAATAATATTTTAATATAATCTAACTACATCCCTACTCTTAACTATTTAAGACTACCTTTCAATATTTCAAAGTTTGCCATTGTTAACTATCTCTTATATAATACTTCATAATAACAACAATAACAACAACAACAACAATAATTTTATTATTATTATTATTATTATTATTATTATTACAATAAATTGATTAATATATCCTAAAGCATGACCCTTATCTAAACAAATTACTACAGAGTATTATATTTTCACAATCCAAATCAAATATGGTGATCTTACATTATCAAAATCTCACATTATCACTTACATTGTACTTATTATCTACAATAATCTCACAAGCCAACTACTATATATATAATATAATGAAACCTTATTATCATTCTATATAAATGGTCATGGGATCGATTCTAATAATAAGACAGAATCACTGAATCATAAGTGTTTTAAAAAATAAGTTAATAATAAATTACTTCCCGTGATCGGAATATTCCATTTTATTCCTTTACACAAAGTTTTGTGCCCTCTACTTTTAGATGCTTTATTATTGTGTTGATATTTATCCAAAACTTATGTCAAAACTTTCAGATGCATGCATTTAACCCCCGATTAAATAAAAAAAGAAAACTTTTATATATTAGTGTCAACTTTATTTTTTACATTTTATATTTTGTGGAAAACTTCAATGATGTATATCCTGATCAAGTGTTTATATATCCATATTCAAACACCATATTTTATATATTAGTGTCAATATAATTTTTATATTTTATATTTTATATTTTGTGTCGAAATTAAAACCTCAAAGGGATGTATATCCTGATCAAGTGCTTATCCCAAACACCATAATTTATATATTAGTGTCACTTTTATTTTTTATTTTTATATTTTGTGGAAAACCTCAAAGATGTATATCCTGATATGATCAAGCAGTATTTATATCATGGTTGAGTTTCGTATGAGAGAATTCGTGGGACGGCGAGTAAAAATAAAAATATAATACTTATGTTAAAAATTTAATACTAATTTAGAATAAATAATTTGTTATTTATAAGAGAAAATATAATAGTTTGGAGGTAAAATATAATAATTTTATATCAAAATATAATATTTAAGGATTGAACACATGAGAAAATGTAATTCCAAACTATTGAATAACCAAACGCTTTCTTTAACATTTTGATCTTTGGGTTACATCATATTTACCAACCGTCCAATATCTTTGGGTTACATTATATTTAAAATTTTTAAATTTTTACTAATTCATCTAAATTCCTTAAATTAAGAATTTCTTTATCCATAATAATTAATTTAACAATAATGGTTGAACTAAATGAACACCGAATAAAACACCTAAATGACTGGTACCGTTAATTCATTCATTGATATGAATCTCCTATATTATCTTGTATTCATGTACTATGAGTTACATATTTAAATAAACAAATTTGACATTAAAATACTTATGTATGAACTTCTCATATATAATTTTGCGTTGATATACTTTCAAATATTTATTTAATTATAAATATTGTGCATTAACTCATTCGCGCAATGTACGTGTAAAACTAGTATTAAAAATAAATGTTAACATCGTCGCTATTACCAATGCAATGGATCGGAGTTTAGAATTGTCTAAGCTAGTCTTACCCTAAGCCTACTTGACTTGAATTTTGTATACATTTGTTTTCTAGAACAACTAAAGTACAAGGAATTTAAGGACATTTTACACGAAAGTGTGGAAACGTTATCACCCACCAAATCCTAAGAGAGGAGGAATAACAATAGGAAAAAAAAAAAAAAAAAAAAAAAAAAGGAAAAATAATTTTCGTTGCCTTCTTTCAGGGGTCCATTCAGTATTACTATGATCTTACCCGCAGTTTTCCCAGATCTTTCCATATGGGTTTCCTAATTTACAAAGAAGAAGAAGAAGAAAAAAAAGGTAATTGGAGTCTTCAGTCTTTTCTTTGATTTTCTCCTAAAAAATTATGACCATGAAATTACCAGGAAAATACAAGGAAGAATTTGAATAGCACAAAATGGAATTCATAATATATAATTTTCAGAGATTACCGCAAACCTTATGAATTCTAAATTCCCTTGAAATTTAATCACAAGATCAACGAAAGTCGTTTGTTGTTATGCACCACATTCGTAGTATTTGACTTCTCTTAGCTTGGCGATTTTTTTAATTAATTGTATTTGAATTTCACAGATGATCGATGATTTTCTTACAATTTAATGATTATACTATACAATATATCACGCCTAATTAACAAAGAAATATAATACTCCGTATATAACAATTAACTACTACTAATTATATAGGTATAATACAATTATAATACTAACCGATTATATGACTCTTTTGTGAGACCGTTTCACGGATCGTTATCTGTGAGACGGATCAAGTCACAATAAAAATGTAATACTTATGCTAAAAAATGAAATACTAACCAGGAATAAATTGTTTGTTATTCACAAGAAAAAGTAAACTTTTGAGAGAAAATGTGATACTTTTAAATCAAAATGTAATATCTAGACTTGAATAATTACTTATGAGAAAAAAATGCAATACTAATTATGGATAAATTATTTAATTGTTACTAATTAATGAGAGAAAGTGTAATACGCATGAGAAAAAATGTGAACTTTTGATAAACATGTAATACGTACTTTTAAATCAAAATGTAATATTAGGAGTTGGAGGGTTACATACTTGCATATATGAAAATTGTAATACTATTATGGAAAAATGTAATACTTATCAAAAATTTCACTCGTTTCATAGATGAGTATCAATGATTCAATGAGATCGCTTCATAGGAGATTATATATATATATATATATATATATATATATATATATATATAACTAAATAAATATGACTAAATATATACCTTTTATTAAAAAAAAAAAAAAAGAAGACGAGTGAGGTAATTAGCAAAAAAGTTGGTTTCTCGTCTATGTTTGGCACACCTAGTTGAACTAGCTGAAAAGCTTGTAGCTAATAAACTAAAATAATTGAAATTAAGGTGTTTTGTAAAATTAGCTGTTGAATAAGAGGATAAGTGTAAAAAGACATAAA